CACGTTGGGGCTATCGGGCCCCTATCGGCGATCCATGGGCGATTGCACGCATCCCCCCTATGCCTGTAATCCCCCCAATCGTTGCCCCTGAAAACCAATCCAGGAGAAAGGGTCGGGACTTCCAGGGACCCCGGTGCTGCAGGCCCGCTCTTGCGCACAGCCGACGAGGGTGCCCGAGTCGGCGGCGGCCAAGAGGGGGGCGTCCAAGACGGGGGGGTGCAAATCATGGCCGGCGGCATGTGCGCGGCCCAAGGGGGGGGGCCAGGGACGTACTGAAATAAGAAGAGGCGGCATGAAATCTGGGGAGGTATCATGGCCCACGCCAAGATAGCCACCCCCCCCTCAGTCATCACTCCCCTCTTGGCCGCCCCCGACCGACCAGTCGGCGAAGGGACGCGGCCGCGCCAGGAGCTGCCCAGGCGCCCTCGGAGGGCGACGGCCGCCCGGCGCCCTCTGCGGAGGACCGCCCCGCGGCGGCCGCCACGGGGGCCCAGCACTGGTCTGAGGAGCGAGGGCCAGAAGGCTCCTGCCAGCCCAGAGGGCACTCCTCCTCCTGCTCCTCCTCCTCCTCCTGCTCCTCATGCTCCTCGTAATCCTCCTCCTCCTCCTCTTCCTCCTCCTCCTCCTTCTCCTCTTCCTCCTCCTCCTCCTCTTCCTCCTCCTCCTCCTCCTCTTCCTCCTCCTCCTCCTTCCCCCCTCTCTCTCTCTCTCTCTCTCTCTCTCCCCCCCTCGCTCTGGCCACGGGGGGCGGAGGTATAAGACGCCCAAAGATGGCCTCAAGCAGCCCGAAGTATGCTAGAACGAATGCGACTGAACATACGGCCACAGAGGACTTGAGGGCACGCTCGGTGTCGAATCCAGCTCGAAAAGGTGTCCCTGGATGAATGCTGGTCCCCAGGGCCATCGGGGAATCTGAAAATGTCGTGGAGCACGCTCTGGCAAGCCAGCTTCATATTCGACGCGCACAGCTGGAAGCCGCGGGGCCGGAGCGGGCGGGGTCGAAGGGTGGCGCACCGCATCCCCGATGCGTCGGAGGGAGAAAATCGGGCTCCAGATAGCGCTGCATCGCTGATGCATCGGCGGCGCGGCGCGATCCCTCGCCCACACCCGCTCCTGAGAGCAGGGCGAGTTGAGATAACGTTGGATCAAAACTGGTCCCTGGACCCCTCCCAGGGTGCAAACGCGCTGCTTTTCCGAGCTGCGTCCAGCCGCGGCCACGCGGCCGCGACCGTTCGTCGTCTCACTGTTTCAGCGAGAGGGGGTAGTCTGGTTAAGTTCTGCGCTGCGCATGGCCTCACACGCCTTCCACAGGATCACGGGCCGATTTGATCCTGCCCCCAACTGGCTGGTCACGCGGCTTCTGGACTGCGGTCTTTCGAGGCCTCGCAACGAGCCAGACAACCAAACCACTCGTCGTCTCAAGCCGCCCTCCTCGGAGTTCCGAGCCGGAGGCTGGGCGCAGGCGCAGGTCGCAAGGACACGCGGGCTCCGGGCACACAGCAGAAGTAGAGGCAGAAAACACGGCACTGGCACAGATGTTCGACGGTCCGCGCGGACTTCTTGGATCTGCGGTGGAGCCCCCTCCCTGGCGCGCGGAGCGCGCCAGGGGTGGCGCTGGAGGCGCAGCCAAGAAATCCATTCGGACCACTAAACGTTTTCCTATTCGGCGTTTCGACACTAGGCGGAAGGGGAGGGAGGGTCTGGCTCTGGACCTCTGCCTAGCGCGACTGTTTGCAACAGTGTGCCCATTGTGGGGGAGACTGCACCTGCTCGAAACAGGCGCCCAAAAAACAGCCAAGATCTACTGCATGGGGGGGGGAGGGGGGGGCGAGGGCCCGCGCCGATCCACAAGACAACGAATTACAAAAACGATCACTCGTCGAAAATGCATGTTTCGGCCTTTGCTCCCTCCTTCGAAGCAAGAGCGCGGGGGTCCTTTCACCAGGCAGGATTTTAAAGGAAAAAATAAGAACAAGAAAAGACCCAATAGAGTCCAAACTTATAATTTAAACATTGCTCCCATACTATAATGTGACTGTGTTTGAATATCCTCCTGTAGAGGGATACGCCCGAATTAAGTCTTTGCCCCTTCGAAGCAAGGGCGCGGGGGTCGTCTCACATCGTTCAACCGATTCTCATCCCCACCAGCGTGGGCAGGGCCCCACTGGCCGATTTACCCCCCTCAATGGGGATAGAGGCTGCTTTGTTAGAGGGTGTTGAAGGGCATATATCCCCAACTGGCTAATCTGGTGTGATGGTGGGGCTCGAGATGCGGATGGGGATGGGGACAGGGATTGGCTTAACGATGCTGATGTTTCCCCCCTTCGAAGCAAGGGCGCGGGGTCCGTTCGGACCATTCGAACATGCATGCTTCGGCCTCAGGAGGAGGAGGAAAAAGAGGAGGAGGAGGAGGAGGAGGAGGAGAAAAAGGAGGAGGACGAGGATGAGGAGGACGAGGACTAACAGAGTGAGTGAGGAGGAGGAGGAGGAGGAAGAGGAGGAGAAAAAGGAGGAGGAGGCGGAAGGGCAGGAGGAGGAGGAGGGGGGGGAGGAGGAGGAGGAAGAGGAGGAGAAAAAGGAGGAGGAGGACGAGGACGAGGATGAGGAGGAGGAGGAGGAGGAGGAGGAGGAGGAAGAGGAGGCTCGAAGCAAGGGCGCGGAGGTCCTCTCGCCAGGCAGGGCGCGGGCGCCCGCGGCGGGCGGCGGCGGCGCCTCTGGGGCGCGGCGCGGTCGCTCGGCCCGCGCGGGCGCGGGCGGCGCGCGCGCCGCCCGGGGCGGCGAGGAGCGCCTCGCCCGCGCCCGGCGGAAACGCGCAAGGACCGACGCCGTTCCTCGATCGCCCCTCGAGCGTTCTTTTCTCCAACCATCCTATAATATTGGGTCCTCGTTTTGAAAAAGACGGACCCCACGTTCCTCCTCCCTCCTTCCTTTCTCCCCCATCCTCCCTTCCCCCTGCGTTTCACCCACCCAATACAGCGCTTCGTGGCCCCATAGGGAGCTCCACCGAAGGCGCCAATGGCACGGTTCGCATGGCGGCTTCGAGCCATTTTGGCACGCCCCCCACGGGCATCGTGGCCCCATCACGACGACGACGCCGACGGTCGCGGCGGCGGCGGCGACCGTACCGATGAAGACGCTGGCGGCGCCGACGACGTCGATGGCCACGACGGCGCTGGCGGCGTCTGCGGCTGCGAAGACGACGACGGCGCCCTGGTCAAGGCCTGCGCGGGCGCGGCACGAGCTGGCGCGGGCCCGCCACGGCCCGCGGAGATCTCCGCGGCGAGGTCGTCCGCCAGGGAGATGAGGCTCCTGGCCGCCCACAGACGACGACGGCGGCGGCGGCGACAGCGACGATGGCCACGACGGCGCTGGCGGCTGCGGCCAAGACGGCGCTGGCGGCACCGACGACGACGGCCGCGACAGCGCTAGCGGAGGCGACGGCGACGGCAACGCCGTGTTCGACCTTTTGAAAAGGCATCCTGGGGGAGCCCGCGTGGCCTCGCCTGGATTTGCCTTTGAATCCTGGTCAGGGCGCGTCCCAGGACGAGTTCGCAGGTCGTCCGCCAGGAAGGCGAGGTTCCTGGCTGCAGGGTCTACAACCAAACCGCTGGCTAAAGACGTTTAACATATTTTCCGGCGTGTGTCGGCGGGTTCCTGGGCCCAACGACCCGAACTCGACGATAGCTTCAAAACGGAAGCACCAGCCATCCGGGCGTCGCGAAAACACTACGACGGTGACGACGACTACGACGACGACCTCTACCACGACCACGACCACGACAACAACGACGCCATTGTTTCAAATTTGTGTTTGCGGCTCTGATCCGGCCACCACGGCTGGGCGCGCCTCGGAAATTTAAGCGGAATGGACCCGCGGGAGAGATCCGGGGACCGACTTTCAGCGGTATCTGGTCGGACGGCAACGGCGGCAACGGCGGCAACGGCGGCAGCGGCGACAGCGGCTGTGACGGCGACGATCGCCTGGGCAGCGGCGCCGTCGCAGAGCCCGCCCACGGGACGGTTTGGAGCGCGCTGGCACGCAGCGCGGGCCTCGCGGGCGCGGGGCGACGAGGGCGACGAAGGCGACGGGAAAGCCGAAGAGGTGAAGGGAAAAAAAGCAGGGCGAGGGGGCGCGAGGGGGCGCGAGAAGGGCCAGAAGGGCGAGAGCGGCGAGAGGGGGCGAGAGGGGAGGGGCAAGCTACGAGCGCTCGTGCCACATCTGGCATCCTGCCCCTCCCGCCCCTCCCTTCCCTTCTGCGTCGATCTCTCTCCTCAGTCCGCCGACGGGTGCCGTAGTGCGGACCTGCAGCTCCACAGAAAACATCGTGTGAATCGCGGTCTGACAGGGGGGGAGATGTGTACATTGAAGCGGTGGCGGACGGGCAGGAGGATGGGCAGGAGGAACACATTCGATGGGACCCTGTAAACGCTACAGGCGACGTAGCCGAGCCCCTTTTACCACAGAACTCCACGGGAGTGCACTCCTCGACGGGCCTCGCTCCGTCGCGCCCTGGAGAGATCGGCTTCTATGACGGCGGCCGACGGCCAACGATGGCTGGGGTGCTATCTCTGGTGGGTCCTCGCCAGGTTAGCCGGGCCTTTTTTTCCATAGACGGCGTGCACTTCCCAGTGAGGCGACGCGGGTTCGAGGATGAAGCAGCAGCAGGAGCAGCAGGAGCAGCACGAGCTCTACCAACTCGACTTCTGCGGGCCAGCGCGGGTCGAGGGTGACTCGGGCCCGTCCCAAACCGTCGACAGCCCCCCACGGCGCGCTAAGGCCATAGCCATAGCGCAGTCCTTCCTATGTGTTGCTGGTCGACGAAAGAGTCCGACAACACCCTACTGCTTGTCGACGCATGGCCCCTGTTCTACCTCAGGGCAGCATCGTGCCGCTCGGAACGATCGGTGTGACGGTCGGTGTGGCTGGCAGGCCATGTTTTTTTGACAGGCGCGTTCGAGCAACATGAGCGACCGCAGGCGCCCAGGGGGGGGCGCCCGACTTAGTCGGGCACCTTTGGCAGCTGCGCGATCCGGCGCGCAGCTGAGGCAGCGAATTCTGTTGCGTTGCCACCAGCGCGGCGCAGGTCGCCGAGGAGCAGCAGCGTCTGCCCCCACCTGCACCTCACCCGTCCTGCTCGGTGTGCGGGCCGTCGGCGCCTTAATGCACTGGCCGTGGTGCACACGCTCGAGCGGCCTTTGCGCCTGCGGCCGTCCCCTCGACTACCCCCCCGCTCGCCGCGCCCGCCGATGGGCCGCGGCACCCCCCAGCCGACAACGACGAGGTCTCGACGACGTCTCCATTCTCCACCACCACCACGAAACGACCACGGCGACGATGACACTGACGACGACGACGACGACGACGACGACGACGACGACGAGGACGACGACGACGACGACGGCGGCGACGACGACGACGACGGCGGCGACGACGACGACGACGACGACGACGACGACGACGACGACAACGACGACGACGACGACGGCGGCGGCGGCAACGGCAGCGGCACAGGCAGAGGCAGAGGCGGCGGCTGCGGCAGCGGCGGCGGCGGCGAAGCCGAAACCAAAGCCGTTGGCCCGCGCCTCACGGGGCTCATGGGGCTGGCCGCGCCGGCGTCCGGCCGCCTTCCGTTCGAGGCGCCGCTGGACGTGCCAACCTCCGTGCGGCCCTCGGCGGGGTGCTGGGCGCCGGCGGCCGCCACCTGCGTACGCGAATGGCCACGACGACGACGACGACGACGACGACGACGACGACGACGACGACGTCGACCACCACGACGACGACGACGACGACGACGACGACGACGATGGCGGCGGCGGCGACGGCGACGGCGACGGCGACGGCGGCATCATCAGCAACGGCGACAGCAGCGACGGCGATGGCAGCGAAGCGACGGCAGCGGAGAGGGCGGCGGCGGCAGCGACGGTGGCGGCGGCCAGCGACGGCCGCGACGCCTGCGACGGCCGACGACGGCGACCACGGCGACTGCGGCGACGACTGCGGCGGCGACGACGACGAGGAGACAAAGACGAGCAGGACGGGAGGGATGCGGAGGAACAGGAAGAGAAGGATAGGGAGGAGCAATGGGGAAGAATGAGATGGCGACCGCGCCGCGACCCTCATCCTCCTCTTCCTCGTCCCTGATGTGTTATCCCGATATTACCTCGAAGCCTGTAATGCCTGGCGGTGCTGCAATTTCGTGGTCGGACTTGTTTGCGCATCGTCGCGGCAAACATGGCCCCTTGCACTGGAACAATGGAACACATTCGCAGCAACTGCATAGATGGTCGCGGCGAAGCTGGAGATACAGGAGAAGCAGAGCGCCGGTTTTTCGCGGGGGATGGATAGGATGGTGCATGCCATTGCCCAGGCTCGCTCTTTGGCCTCATTGCAGGCGGCCGGAGCAAGAAGTCAACGTGGAGACGAGGCTGAAGAATGATGGTGGCCAGGCGATCCGTGGAAAGGGGCCCCTGCGGGGACTGGTCAACATGGGTCCACTGTCGACTTCGAGACAGTGATCATATTGGAAAACACATCGGGTGACACACGCGTGCCCCAAAAGCCCACTGGGGTGGCCCAAGGACGACCCTGGACGCAGGACGCAAGGCGCGCATGTGTGCCAGCTGGAAGCCAGCAGGCCCACTGGGGGCCGCGCGGGTGGGCCGAGGCCTTTTCAGATGCCCGCGCGAGTGATGCGAGATGCGTCCAAGCTTCAGCTCTGACCCGCGTGCAGAACGGATTCGTCCAAAGACTGTTTTTTTTCACAGGGTCGCGCGGACCGCTGCCAACAAACCGTGCCCAATTGCACGGGGAATGCTTCGCCTGGAAGGCCGCGACCCGAATCCGCCGCGCATCGGCTACGGCTCCCTATGCTTGTTGGTCGCCAGCAATACACCACCAACTCTTTGTTCGGAAGCACAAAGGGACTGCACAGGCTATGCTACGTCGCTGCACCACCGTTTTCGCTGTCATCCTTGTTTGGGCTGCGCCCGCTCTGACAGCGCCGAGCACTTGAGCCTGACCTTGGCACATCCCGAGGTCGTTTTACGTTCTGAGGGCGTTCCAGCCGTCTCGCGGCCCTCTCATTTCTTCCCCTCCTGCCTTCCCCCTCAATTGTGCCCAATTCGCTTCCGACGCGCCCCGCCGATAGTCGACCGCCTGCTGGATCCAGCTCGCCGCCGATCAAGAAATTTCCGCTGTGCTGGTCTGGCGTCGTAGAAAGGAGTCTCCCATGCTGCAGCGAGCCTCGTCCATCCGAAGGAGTACCCAGGAACGCCCGCGCGAGTCCACCGGGCGTCCAAGGGGGGGACAGGTGGGAACTTCCAACGCCAGAGAGCCTTAGCTCAGCCCCACTCGTGCCAGCACCCGATATCAATCTACCAGCAGCGCAGCAGCTGCGAGGCATAATCAAGACAGAAACAAGTCGCGACTGGCTCGAGGGGCGCAAGCTGCAGATGAGGTGCGACAACGACGCTTCCCCTCCTCTTCCCCTCGTCCTCGTCCTCCTCCTCCTCCTCGCCCTCCTCCTCCTTCTCATCCTCCTCCATCCCCCTTCCTTATAAACTACCTCATCCCTGTCGCACCCCAGACGTTTCACCTTAGACCACCTCACCATTTAGGATTCGAAAGCTTGTCATTTGAAACAGCTTCGCTGATGGAGAGCGGGTGGTTTTCAAAATGTGGTCCTCGCCTCAGCGCGGCGCACATTTGTCTGAAAAAAATCACATGAGCATCACGGGCTGAGGACAGGCAACTTTCAAAATGTGGCTCTCGCCTTAACGCAGCGTGCATTCGTCTACAAAGTTCGAAAACAATTTCACGGGTGGAGGGCGGTACTTTTTCAAAATGTGGTTGACATCCGAAAATGGTGTGTTGGCACGAGTTGTGACGTTGATTCGCGGTACTACCGTCCCCCAAAAAAGTGTTCTGGCTCGATTCAAGATCGGCAAGTCGCAACATGATCCGTGTCATCGAAGTCCCAAGAATTGTGCCCTAGCGCGGTTGAAGATGTTCAGCCGGTCGTCTTCCAACGGCGGAGCTCTTCCCGCAAAGGATAAGAATTTGGGTGGCCCAAAAGGGGGTCCAGCTGAAAAAAAGTGGCGCAACAGATTGGGGCAGTTGCATTCTAGATGCATTGCGCCGGAGAAAACAGTATTCTATTGTACTGCAACGAATGCATTGCGCGCGAAAAACCAGCAACACATTTGCGTCCCGCAATGTGTTGCACGGCCCAAACCTATTGCAACCCACAAAATCTAGCGCACCAAATCTATATTGCACCACCCCCTCGTAGCTGGACCATGTTCTGGGTCAACCGGAAATACATCCTTTTAGGAGCCTATGAAGAGGGAGCTTGGATTGGGTCGGGCATGTCCTCCTACAGGCGGACTTTGGACGAACATCGAAAATAGTCAAACGTACTCCAAAAATGGCGAAACAAATCGTCCCCTGACTATCTCTGCTATTTCTGAGCATTCCTCCTGTCGAGGGACACGCCCGACTGAAAGCTTGGAGGGAGGGCCTGTCGCGAGTGGCCGAACGAGGGAGACGGGGTGGCTGATGGCTGCGGGCCCGCCCACGCTCGCCCGGCCCTGCGCCCCCAGCCCACCGCAGACAGAGGGGCGCGCAGGGGACGACGAGACAGCAACTGGAATTAGGTCGGGCATGTCCTCCTACAGGCGGATTTGGGGTGCAAAAAATGAAAAATGTTCAAAAAGGACGAAAAATAGACAAAAAAAGTCCGCTGGCCCCTTTGCGGGGCCATCCGGCTGCGAGGCTTAGGTTTGCTGCTCCCTGCACCAGTTCCAATTTCCAGCTTCCAATGTTACAGTATGGCTTTCTGCTTCTTCCTGTAAGTTGTTACTGTCCGCGAGAGGGGGCGAGAGGGGGGGGGGTGCAAAAACCGCCAAAGTAAAAATCGTTGATTTCCCATGAGTTTTTGAAGGATTGTGGCATTTGCCTTTTTTTCGGCCTTCCGACGGCCCGAGACGGCCCAAATGCCCCTGAAGAGAGCCCAAGAGGCCCAAGACGGCCCAAGAGGCCTCCAAGACGCTCAACATGGCCTCCAAGACGGCCCAAGAGCCCTCCAAGACGTCCTCCAAGAAGGCCCGAAAGGATCAAAATGGCCTCCAGACGGCCAAGATGACCTTCAAGATGCCCACGTGTTCCCCAAAGGCTTTCCGAATCGATTCGGGGAACAGATGGTCCGATAGCTTGGCGGGTCTGGCCTCAACGTTCGGCCACATAGGCGCTTCCACAAAGGCAGGGGGCGGCAGTGATTCGCCGTAGGCGTCTTCGATCCGCCGCCCCCTGTCGATTCATCGCAGGGGTGCCTGGCGTGCTAGACCCTTTCGGTTTTGGTGTTGGTTCTCTTCTTACAAAAAAATCCCCCTGGGGCTTCGGCCCGTCCCGCCGGCCACTCGGAAAGATCTTCCAGATGCTTCTGGCTTGCACGGAGCCGGTTGCCAAGGGTGTTTCCTGCTCCAGACGGCTCCAAGGCGGCCCACGATGGCCTCCAGGCGCCTCCAAGACGGCAAACGTGACCTCCAAGGCGGCTCAGATGGCCCCAAGATGCCTCCAAGATGGCCCATGATGCCTCAAAGACGGCCTAAGATAGCCTCAAGATGTTTCAAGACGGCCCAAGAGGCCCCCAAGAGCCCCCCAAGACGCCTCCAGGAGGTCCTCAAGGAGGGCCCGAAGAGGCCAAGATCATTGGTTTTCCTTCGGTTTTTGAAGGATTTGGGCATTTGCTTCTTTTCGGCCTTTCGAAGACCTCAAGATGGCCCAAGAGGCCCCCAAGATCGCCCCAAGATCGCTCACGAGGCCTCCAAGATGGCCCCTATGACGGCTCAAGAAGCCCCCAAGAAGGCCCCAAGAGGGCCCCAAGACGGCCCAAGAACCCTCCAAGACGCCCAAGATGGCCTCCAAGACAGACCCGAAGCGTCCCAAGAGGGTCCCAAGTCGGTTCAGAGAGGCCCCCAAGACGGCTCCCGACGGCGTCAGACGGGCCAGGAACGCCAGAAGACGGCCAAAGAAGCCCCCAAGAAGCCCCAAAAGGGCCCCAAGAGGCCCTCAACAGGCCCCAAGAGAGCCCAAGATAGCCCCAGCATGGCCTTCAAGACGGTCACAAGATGGTCCAATCGAGCCAAGAGTGCCTCAAGAGGCTCCGAAGAGGCATCCTCCCCCTTCTCCTTTTTCCTCCTTCTCCTCCTCCTCCCTTTCCCCCCCCCCCCGCGTTCCCCGGAACCTTTCCAAACCGACTCGGGAAACACATGGTCCGATAGCTTGGCCAAGCTCGAGCCCAGCTGTCGGACACATAGGCGCTTCCACAAGGGCAGGGGGCGGCGGTGATTCGCCGTAGGCGTCTTCGATCCGCCGCCCCCTGTTGGCTTGCCACAGGGGTGCCCAGCGTGCTAGATCCTTTCGGTTTGGGTTTTGGTCTTTTCCCACAAGAACTCCCCCTGGGGCTTCGGCCCGTCCCGCCAGGGTCCCAGAAGGGAGCTCAATCCCCAATTGTTCCTCCAAGGCGCCTCAAGATGGCCTCCAAGATGGCCACGTTGGCCCAAGATGGCCTCCAAGATGGTCCAAGATAGCCTCCAAGATGGCCACGTTGGCCCAAGAGGGCCTCCAAGACGGTCCAAGAGAGTCCAAGATACCTCCAAGTTCGCCCAAGAAGCCTCCAAGACGGTCCAACACGACCCAAGAGGCCTCCAAGAGGTCCTCCAGGAGGACCCGAAGAGGCCAAAACCATTGATTTCCCATTGGTTTTTGAAGGATGGTGGCACTTGTTTCTTCTCGGCATTCCGACGGCTCAAGATCGCCCCAAGATCGCCCCAAGATCGCCCACGAGGCCTCCAAGATGGCCCCATGACAGCCCCAGAGGCCCCCAAGACGGCCCCAAGAGGGCCCTAAGAGGCCTCCAAGAGGCCTCCAAGACGCCCAAGATGGTCTCCAAGACGGCCCTGAAGCGCCCCAAGAAGGCCCCAAGACGGCCCAGCGAGGCCCCCAAGACGGCTTCCAACGGCATCAGACGGGCCAGGAAGGCCCTAAGTCGGCCCAAGAGCCCCCTAAGAGGTCTCCTAGACAGCCCAAGAGGCCTCCAAGAGGTCCTCCAGGAAGGCCCGAAGAGGCCAAAATCATGGATTTGTTTGGGGGGAGGGTGCGCTCGCGGGCGTCCTTCGCTGCAGTGGTAGCTTTTCCCAGCCGCAGCCGCACTGGCGATGACTCCGCAGACGCCAAAGTTCGAGCTCTTGCCGCGCTTACTTGGTACGCTTTTCGAACGGCTGCAGACAATACAAGAAGATCAAACAGCGGCCAGACGACGCGAATGAAGTACATCATCATCACGTACCTGCACCCCTCCGCAACCATGGGCAACATCTTCTCCAGCAGCCAGTCGGAACCATGGTCTTGCACCCAACTGATGGGCTTCACAATCTCTTCTCCGATGACCGCGGCGTGCTCTCCACCCTTGTCCTCGTCCACGGCGCCGATGGGGAGGCCGTGGCTGTCGTTGTCATGCCCCCCCCGGCGACCACCAGGGTGGGCTGTCCTACGACCAGCAGCGCGATGGCAAGAAGGGCGCGTGGGCCTCAACGTTCGGCCACATAGGCGCTTCCACAAGGGCAGGGGGCGGCGGTGATTCGCCGTAGGCGTCTTCGATCCGCCGCCCCCTGTCGATTCATCGCAGGGGTGCCTGGCGTGCTAGACCCTTTCGGTTGTGGTTTTGGTTCTTTTCTTACAACAAAAATCCTCCTGGGGCTTCGGCCCGTCCCGCCGGCCACTCGGAAAGATCTTCCAGATGCTTCTGGCTTGCACGGAGCCGGTTGCCAAGGGTGTTTCCTGCTCCAGACGGCTCCAAGGCAGCCCACGATGGCCTCCAGGCGCCTCCAAGACGGCAAACGTGACCTCCAAGGCGGCTCAGATGGCCGCAAGATGCCTCCAAGATGGCCCATGATGCCTCCAAGACGGCCTAAGATAGCCTCAAGATGTTTCAAGACGGCCCAAGAGCCCCCCAAGAGCCCCCCAAGACGCCTCCAGGAGGTCCTCGAGGAGGGCCCGAAGAGGCCAAGATCATTAGTTTTCCTTCAGTTGTTGAAGGATTTTGGCATTTGCTTCTTTTCGGCCTTTCGAAGACCTCAAGACGGCCCAAGAGGCCCCCAAGATCGCCCCAAGATCGCTCACGAGGCCTCCAAGATGGCCCCTTATGACGGCTCAAGAAGCCCCCAAGAAGGCCCCAAGAGGGCCCCAAGACGGCCCAAGAACCCTCCAAGACGAACGCCAGAAGACGGCCAAAGAAGCCCCCGAGAAGCCCCAAAAGGGCCTCAAGAGGCCCTCAACAGGCCCCAAGAGAGCCCAAGGTAGCCCCAACATGGCCTCCAAGACGGTCACAAAATGGTCCAATCGAGCCCAAGAGTGCCTCAAGAGGCTCCGAAGAGGCATCCTCCCCCTTCGCCTTTTTCCTCTTTCTCCTCCTCCTCCCTTTCCCCCCCCCCGCGTTCCCCGGAACCTTTCCAAACCGACTCGGGAAACACATGGTCCGATAGCTTGGCCAAGCTCTAGCCCAGCTGTCGGACACATAGGCGCTTCCACAAGGGCAGGGGGCGGCGGTGATTCGCCGTAGGCGTCTTCGATCCGCCCCCTGTTGGCTTGCCACAGGGGTGCCCAGCGTGCTAGATCCTTTCGGTTTGGGTTTTGGTCTTTTTCCACAAGAACTCCCCCTGGGGCTTCGGCCCGTCCCGCCAGGGTCCCAGAAGGGAGCTCAATCCCCAATTGTTCCTCCAAGGCGCCTCAAGATGGCCTCCAAGATGGCCACATTGGCCCAAGATGGCCTCCAAGATGGTCCAAGATAGCCTCCAAGATGGCCACGTTGGCCCAAGAGGGCCTCCAAGACGGTCCAAGAGAGTCCAAGATACCTCCAAGTTCGCCCAAGAAGCCTCCAAGACGGTCCAACACGACCCAAGAGGCCTCCAAGAGGTCCTCCAGGAGGACCCGAAGAGGCCAAAATCATTGATTTCCCATTGGTTTTTGAAGGATGGTGGCACTTGTTTCTTCTCGGCATTCCGACGGCTCAAGATGGCCCAAGATCGCCCCAAGATCGCCCACGAGGCCTCCAAGATGGCCCCATGACAGCCCCAGAGGCCCCCAAGACGGCCCCAAGAGGGCCCTAAGCCGCCTCAAGAGGCCTCCAAGACGCCCAAGATGGTCTCCAAGACGGCCCTGAAGAGACGGCCCAGCGAGGCCCCCAAGACGGCTTCCGACGGCATCAGACGGGCCAGGAAGGCCCTAAGTCGGCCCAAGAGCCCCCTTAAGAGGTCTCCTAGACAGCCCAAGAGGCCTCCAAGAGGTCCTCCAGGAAGGCCCGAAGAGGCCAAAATCATGGATGTTCCTTACGTTTTGTTTGGGGGGAGGGTGCTCTCGCGGGCGTCCTTCGCTGCAATGGTAGCTTTGCCCAGCCGCAGCCGCACTGGCGGGGACTCCGCCGACGCCAAAGTTCGAGCTCTTGACGCGCTTACTTGGTACGCTTTTCGAACGGCTGCAGACAATGCAAGAAGATCAAACAGCGGCCAGACGACGCGAATGAAGTACATCATCATCACGTACCTGCACCCCTCCGCAACCATGGGCAACATCTTCTCCAGCAGCCAGTCGGAACCCTGGTCTTGCACCCAACTGATGGGCTTCGCAATCTCTTCTCCGATGACCGCGGCGTGCTCTCCACCCTTGTCCTCGTCCACGTCGCCGATGGGGAGGCCGTGGCTGTCGTAGTCATGCCCCCCCCCCCAGCGACCACCAGGGTGGGCTGTCCTACGACCAGCAGCGCGATGACAAGAAGGGCGCGTCGGCTCGCCATCGTTGACACGGCGCGGCCTCCTGCTTCTGGACCGCGCGAGACGCGACGCCCGCCTTGAAGAGTCGTCCCTGAGCTTGTGCTTGAGCCAAAATGGCTACGTAGAGATGATTCGCCTTACGTGTTTGAAGGATTAGGGTATGTTTGCCTTTTCAGCCTTCCGACGGCCCAAGAAGACCCCAAGATCGCCCCAAGATCGCCCAAGAGGTCTCCAAGACGGCCCCATGACGGCCCAAGAGACCCCCAAGAAGCCCCCAAAGAGGGCCCCAAGACGGCCCAGGACGGCCTCCAAGACGCCCAGGATGGCCTCCAAGACGGCTAAAATGGCCCCAAGATGCCTCCAAGACAGCCCAAGATGCACCCAAGACAGCCTGAGATGGCCTCCAGACAGCCTAAGACGGCCCAAGAGACCCCCAAGAGGCCTCCAAGACGGCCCAAAAGGCGTCCTTGATTTCCCGTACGTCTTTGAAGGATTTTGCCATTTGCTTCTTCTCGGCGGCATTCCGACGGCTCAAGACGGCACAAGAGGCCCCAAGATCGCCCAAGAGGCCTCCAAGATGACCCCATGAAGGCCCAAAAGGCCTCCAAGACGGCCCCAAGAGGCCCCCAAAACGGCCCCAGAGGCCTCCAAGACGCCCAAGATGGCCTGTCAGAACCCCTGATATGCCCCAAGAGGGCCCCAAGACGACACAGACAGGCTCCCAAGACGGCTTCCGACGGCGTCAGACAAGCCAGGAACGCCCTAAGACGGCCAAAGAGGCCCCCAAGAGGCCCCCAAAGGCCCCCCAAAACCATCCAAGAGGCCCCCAGGAAGCTCCCAGGAGGCCCCAAGAGTGCCCCAAGAGGCGCCCAAGAGGCCTCCTCCTCTTCTTTTTTCCTCATCCTCCCCCTCCTCTTCTTGCTCCCCCACACGTTCTCCGAAGTCTTTCCAAACCGACTCGGGAAACAACTGGCCCGATAGCTTGGCCAAGCTCTGGCCCAGCTGTCGGCCACATAGGCGCTTCCACAAGGGGCAGAGGGCGGCGGTGATTTGCCGTAGGCGTCTTCGATCCACCGATCCCTGTTGGCTTGCCACAGGGGTGCCCGGCGTGCTGAATCCTTTCGCTTTGGGATTTGGTTTTTCTTCCAGAAGAACTCTCCCTGGGGCTTCGGCCCGTCCCGCCGGCCACCCGAAAGACCGCACAAGGCAGCATAAACCACCTCAACGACCGGAACCAACTCTCCAAGACGGCTCAAGATGGCCTCTAAGATGGTCACGTTGGCCCAAGATGGCCTCCAAGATGGACCAAGATGGCTTCCAAGTCGCCAAAGATGGTCCAAGATGGCTTCCAAGACGGTCCGAGAGAGTCCAAGATGCCTTCAAGTTCGTCCAAGAAGCCTCCAAGACAACCCAAGATGGCTCCAAGATGGCCTCAGACTGGCCTTATAGCCCTATAGCCATATGGCCGCATACCCCATATAGCCCCATAGGCCAATACCCCCATAGGGCTATAGGGCTGTAGGGCTATATGGCTATGGGGTTCTGGGGCTCTGAGGCTATAGGGCTATAGGCCTATGGGGCCACAGGAATATGAGTATGTAGGGCTATGAAGGCTGTAGGGCTATAGGACCATAGGGCTATAGGGCTGTATGAATATTGGGATATGGGGCTATAGGGCTACAAGGCTATAGGCATATAGAGCGATAGGGCTATAGGGCTGTAGGGCTATAGGGTTGTAGGACTATGAGGCTAGTAGGGCTAAAGGGCTATAGGGCTCTAAAGCTATAGGGCTATTGGTCTATGATGCGATAGGGCTATAGAGCGATTGGGCTGTGGGGCTATAGGGCTATAGGGCTGTAGGGCAGAAGGCTATAGGGTTATGGGTTATAGGGCTATAGGGCAACAGGGCTATAGGGCTATAAGGCTGTAGGGCTATAAGGCTATCAGGCTAGACGGTGTAGGGCTATAGGGCTATTGTGTTATAGGGTCTTAGAGCTTTTGGGCTATAGGGCTACAGGGCTATAGGTTTAGAGGGCTATAGGGCTGTAGGGCTATAAGGCTATCAGGCTAGACGGTTATAGGGCTATAGGGCTATTGGGTTATAGGGTCATAGGGCTGTTGGGCTATAGGACTATAGGGCTATAGGTGTATAGGGCTATAGGGCTATAGGGATATAGGGCTATAGAGCTATAGGGCGCTAGGGCTATAGGGTTATAAGGCCAGAAGGATATAGGGTTATAGGGCAATAGGGCTGTAGGGCTATAGGGCTGTAGAGCTATAAGGCTAGTAGGGCTATAGGGCTATAGGGCTCTAGAGCTATTGGTCTATACGGTTATAGGGCTATAGGGCAATAGGGCTATAGGGCTATTGGGCTATTGGCCTATTGGGCTATTGGGCTGTAGGGGTGTAGGGCTATAGGGCTATAGGGCTATAAAGCTGTAGGGCTCTAGGGCGACAGGGCTATTGGGCTATCAGGCTGTTAGGCTATAGGGCTATAGGGCTATTGAGCTATAGGGCTATAGGACTATTAGGCTATGGGGCTATAGGGCTATCAGGCTATAGGGCTATAGGGCTATAGGGATAGTGGGCTATTAGGCTATAGGGCTATAGACCTATAGGGCTATAGGGCTATAAGGCACCCGGGCACCCGGGCACCTGGGGACCCGGGCGGGCCGCGGAAATCGGTGACACACCTCACCTACCCAGATGAATCCGCCAGGACCCCTACAGGGGCGAGCTCTGATTGGGGAACTTCTGGCGCCACGCCCGCGCGGTTTTTTTGGATCCACGCTGGGCCCCCCCTCCCTGGCACACGGAGCGCGCCAGGGGCGGCGCCAGAGGCGCCGCCGGGGTCTCCAGCGCGGATCCAAGAAACCCGCGCGGAGCGCGAAAGTCTACGTGTATGGCGTTTTTCCCTCCTCCGAGACGAGAGGGCAACGGCAAGCTCAAGTCTCGACGGCGAGGGCCGTGGCCGGACGAGCCACGAGCGCTCCGCGCGGACGTCCTCGGGCCGGCGCCGGGCCCCGCTCCCGGGCGCGCGGGAAGCGCCAGAGACACCACCTCTGACTGTGGTCGTTACCCAGGGGGGGGGGGGGCGGAGGGGGTGCACGTCTGCTGGGCCTGCTTTCCACCACCACCACCAGGAGTTCGATGGGGGGAAGGAGGAGAACGAGGAGGAGGAGGAGGAGGAGGAGGAGGAGGAGGAGGACCCCCAACCCTCCAACTTATGGTGGTGGTGGTGGAAAACGGGCCCATCAACGCCGGGGCGGGGGTGCGCTGCGATCGCCGTTGCGCGCGCGTCCAAGGCCCCCGCGAGGCCAGCGAGAGGCCTCCCGAGAAAGACCCCCACAGGCCTCCCGGCAAGGCCTCTTGTTCACGACCCAGCCTGGCCGAAGGCCACCAAACACTACACACAGCATGAGCCAGCAGAATGAGCGAAGCGATCCGCCGCCCCACCGGATACGGCGTGTGAGATCCGCCGCATGGTCTGCAAGGATTGCTTTCTGTAACTCCTCTCACTAGCGTGCTTTTCATACTCACCCCTGCCTCTGAGCCCTCACAACCCCTCCTAGGGTCCTCCCCGAGGCCCGATCATTCCGCCGGCCCGAGGGCCTGGGCTGCGGCCGGGGCGCCCTCTGGCCACCGCTTCCGTCCCAAAAGGTGCTGGGCTTCCAAGGCGCCACCAGGCCCTCTCAGAGATCTCTCCAGGAGCCTACTGGACTGGCTTGTGGAGCCGCCTGGGGCCCCTTCTGGGCTGATCGTGACCGTCCTTTGGGCCACCTTGGGCCGTCCTGGATGCCCCATCCACCCCTGTTCGAGTCACAAACTCCAAGAACCCCAACAAGCAAAACGCATCGTAAAATATACAAAAATATGACGATTCTGGCCTTCTCGCGCTTCTCCTTGCACCTCTCTTCGAGCTCCCTTGCATCTCCGCGGGCTCTTGCGGCTATCTTGGAACTTGCGGATGCTCTCTGCAGCCGTCTCACAGCCTCTCGGGGCCCTTCTCGGCCGTCTGGGCGCCTTCTTGGCGCATTGTTCGGCAGTCTGGGGCGCCCCAAGAGCCCCCCGGGGTCCCCTCCAGGAGCCAAAAACGAGCTCGAGCTGTTTTTGTCCTCTCCCGTTTCTATCGATCGCCCTTCTCCTGCGACCGATGCTCTGCAACGTGGCCCAAAGAGGCCCCCCAGAGACCCCCACGAAGGCCCCAAGAGGGCCACGAGGCGCCCCGTCCCAGGAGCTCCACGATCCAAGAATGGAGGAGGAGGAGGAGGAGGAGGAGGAGGAGGAGGAGGAGGAGGCGGTGTCTGCCCCCTCAGGGGCGTTCAATTACACCTCTATGGTGACACGTCCTGTTTCCGCCGGCTTCCGCGGGCCTTCCGCCAGCGGAGCCGACGCGCAGTCTGCCTCCGCCAGCTTCAGCAAGATTCCGCCAGCTTCTTCTTTCCTCGAAGGCGAGGCCCTTTCTGGGGCGCCATACCCAATCCCCCAACGCCATGCTTTTTGTTCGCGCTTGTAACCTGACCCCCCGGAGATCTCGACCCTTCAACCATGGACTTGCTTTTTCATCCCGGGCCCTTTTGTTCGACGGCCCCGGAACCAAATAGGGCCCCTGGTGGCCGAAACTAGCGAAAAGACTCGTGTCGTGATTTTTGTCACGGCGCGACCAATTGTTGGGCGCGCCGTGGCAAAAATCACGGTGGCGCGAAATCCATCTTGAATCTGGATTTCGGGCGGCGGGTTTTCCTCCTCGGGCCCCGCGGTCCGACACCAGCCCCCCGGAGGAAGCCCGGCGCAGAACCTGCCGCGTGAAGCGGCGGTCGCGAGGAGAGCAGCCGGAGGAACAAAGGAACGAACTCCAGAGGCATGCGCGCTCCGCTGGGGAGCCCGCGCGTCACCATTGGGGCATGGCGAGGAGGCCGTAGCCTGAGCAGCCAGAGGAGGGGCGGGAGGCGGAGGAGGAGGAGGAGGAGAAGGAGGAAAAAGAGAAGGAGGAGGAGGAGGAGGAGGAGGAGGAGGAGGAGGAGGAGGAGGAGGAGGAGGAGGAGGGGGGAGAAGGAGGAGGAGGAGGAGGAGGAGGAGGGGAGGAGGAGGAGGAGGAGGAGAAGGAGAAAGAGAAG